TAAATGCTTCTTGTATGGGTTAAAATATTAGGTGAGAAAATTATTTTTTATTATGTTGTTTTTGCTATAAATATAGCAAAATATCAATGATATTTCTGAGTTGAAGTAATATACTTCTTCTCCATATTCGTTTATCCTCCTCCTGTTTTTCTCTCCATTTTTAGTTGGGTTCTACTCTTCGTCTTCCTACCGATGTTCTCTCCATTTTTTCTTTGTGAAAAACTTGAACAAAACACACTTGTGAATACTTCTTTTAATTGGATGGTTTGTCATTAAGTTCTTATAAGTCTGCGCAGCTGTCAAACTAAGATCGAGTTGGGAACCAAGGAAGGCCAGGGGCGGCTGTTGAAACAGGTGTAATAGAGTTGAGCCATGTTGGTGGTCCACGTGGTATTACTGTGTTCTTGGATTCTGTGTTTCAATTCTTTATATTGCTCAGGATTAGGCACCAGCTTTGTGTTGATCTTGTCGAACAGTCTCGCTACAGCTTTGTCGCTTCCTAGTCTGTTGCCCAGCACGCCAGCATCTCTCAATTCCTTCACATTCTCCGCCTTCTCAATCAAAGAGTTAAGGAAGGAGACATAGGAAGTGATCTCAAAGTCGTTCATGAAATCCTGACACATCTCTTGTGCCATCAAGTTCGTCAAGTTAGGTGCCGTGTAGTTTTCAGCCTTGAGGGGAGGCAGCTTTAGAGTTGCCTTGCAAAAGTTGGGGCAGAAAGTACTATCCATGACACTGATCGTCTCGGTCGCTTTAAACAAAATCCCATGTTCTTTCAGTTTTCCTTTATGTTGCGAATTGTGTGCCAATTTCTCAGGCTCCCTGAAATGTCATTTGATTCCTTATCTTGTCAATGTTTCGCACCCTCCTTGTCGATCAGTCTTCTCCGTAACAATTTCAGAAGATACGCAGGCTCTTTTCCTTCTCCTTCTCTTTCTGCTTGTTGTAGTTGATGCTGATATTGACGATGATCATGAGGAGAATCAAAGTCATGAATGAGTATCCGTATTTATTCCGGAGGTTCTTATGCCGCTCCAGCTCTACCGGACTCATGTCATTCATATTGATGAAGCTGAAGCTGATGATAGACTTCTCCAATAACCTGGTAGGATATGAATCTCTCACATTCGCATAACTGGGGACTCCAGTGCATGTCTTCATTAGTATCTTAAGGAGATTTAGGGTAGTTGGTTCTCAAGCAAAAATAAATCCAGCTTCGCAAAGGCGACTAGATCATTCGTACCTCCCAATTCCTTCCAATTTTTATTCACATCAAGATGTATATGAAATTCAACAATGCACAGCCATCCACAAGGAACATGCAAGCTAACTCCTCATCATTCCATTTCTCTATTTCCTTGGGGTTTTAACACTTCCTCAAACTATTTATCTCCATCTTGACGTTTTTGTAGAAATCTCCCGTTTTCCTGCCACTATATCTGATGAACTTGACCGCCAGTTGTAGCTTGAACTCCTCACTTCTTTGGAGTTTTTTATCATTCTGTAAGGGACTGACTGCAACAGAAGTTGTTGTGAAATATTCGTTCTTGATATTCTTTTTGTTGCGTATTATGTGCGTAAACCTTCGTATTAACGGCTTTGCTGATGTCAAGTTTAATGGGATGTCGCCAACTTCGTTCAAGGATTTCCATCTATCTTGCATCTCTTTTGACTCATTGCCATCTCCATTTTTCATCTTCTCCTTAACTTTCTAGCTAGTCTTGCTTCTTCAGAGTCTACTCAAGCTTCGCGACACAAATATATGTATTTTTTTTTACCTGCACTTGCATGGCAAAATGCTGTATGGCAAATTTTGCAGCATATGGTGTGGGTGAGACGCAAAAGTCTGCTTAAGACAAAGGATAAATATGTTACGTGACACAACCATGAATGTTTTTTTTTTATCAGCAAATAAATTTATTATTATTTTAGGGAGCACAAGGGGTGCTTCAACCCATATACATGAAACTAATAACTCATGCAAGAAAAATCAAACAAAATCAGCAGCCAAGTGTCCATTCACATCGCCCCGTGAGTCTGCTTATAGAACATCTTCAATAGCCTCTTATGTCTTTTGACTTCTATAGCAACCTGCAATGGGTTATTTTACCACTCGAAAAAAGAAAAAACACACCCTTTCATCTTAATCTTAATCCAGAAAAAAGTCTTGGCCTGCACCATATCCACAACCATGAATGTTTTAATAGATGACGTTTAACCTCTTCATTGATAAGGGTTTCCTAAGAGCATAATAAAAAAGCTCACTCTAGTGTCATATTATAATAATTAATATTAGAAAAATAATAGGTACAAACTCAATTAAGTACAGCCAATTCATCCTCTTTTTGCATTCTATATATATAATTATGTTTTCAAATGTATTTGTTTTTAATTTTAAACCAAAATATAATATTTTTAATGAATGTGTTTGTAATGTGTTAAATCATAATATATATTAATCAATATCTTTAATATTATTTTATACAAACTCTCATTTTATGTATTTAACTTTTAAATAGAAAATCTAACAGATTATGTTTTTTTTTTAATACAAAGAGTTTTCTTAAAAACTATACTAATATTATTTTATTCAATTAATATCTTGTAATTCAAATAAAAAAATTTTGAACTGAATTTTTTCTTTTAAAAAGGCAAAGCCCTTTGATCCAACAGTTTAAAGCAATTGGATTAAAAGGACTGCCGTCAGGTGCTGCAGCAAGTAGCAACAAAATTCAGCAATATTTTGCCTTAAAATAAAGAAACTGAGCAAGTTGCTGTTGGGCGTTGCAGCAAGTTGCAGAGAATAAGCTCAGTT